ACTAAATGTTGTTAGTCCTGATATTGAGCTACATACAACAGATCTTCCGATTATCTTTATCTTTTATTGTGGAAAGTGGTCTTCTAGGTAAAAAACGTCCTAGTAAAAGAAAAAATCATCGTATAATTTTAAAATGTGTCAGAAAAAAGTACTTCTTATGACATCGGTGATGCACACTTCATCAAATAATTTTTGGAATTACTCGAAACTATACACAAAGTAGTTGAAATATTATAATATGCCGATTTGAACATGTCGTCTCCAATATAGACATTACACAATTAAGAATAAAAGTTGAAATGTAGGAACATGATGTTTTAATACTTTGTTCGATCTTACATTCATTTGTTTAGTTTGAATGTCCCTTTGGTAGCTTTCGCATCTTTTTTATCTTTGAAAATAATTAAGTCAAGGAAAAAAGTTATCAAGCTAAACAGAAATTAAAAATAGCGATACATTAACTTAATTTTCAGCTTTTTGTAAATGCAATTTGGAATATTAAATTTGAATAATTTGAACGACCTAGGGTATACTGTGTTTGTCTTGACTGTGCTAACTATTTTTTTTTCAGTTTGTTTCATGTCAAAACTCGTTATTACAATTGCTATCATTTTATTTCCATTACGACGAATCAAGATAAACTAAACCGAGATAATGCATGATAAAGCCAAAAGTATTTGAAAGGTTTTTCAATAAATATAAATTTAATATTTCAATTATTTTAGAATGAGAAACAAATTTGCATACTTGTAAATCTGTTTATCAGCGTGTTTGTAACGATTGGTAATCAAATTCTTCTCACAGTTCGCAGACTTTCGTCTTGATATAGCAATTACAAGAAACAAATATTGAAATAGCTAAGACGAAGTCTCCCGATATGGTATAAAAGTTCAAATAAATAGATAAAAAGTTTTAACCACAACAGTGTTACGAGTTGAGAAAATATTTCGTGACAGATCCAAAAATTAAACTATGTTTTATTATCTGAGTAAAAGATAGCTAGTTCGTCAGCGTATTGTAAAAATAACAGCCAATTTAAATATTAACACAGAAACACTATCAGCGGCTTCATCCGGAATCTTGACTCCAACCTTGGCTTCTCCTGGGACACATATAAAATAATGTAAACAAGTATATCGATATAAGGGTCGTTTTCAAAATCCGTCCATATTTTAGATAGAAATTGAGGAAATATTTCCACCAGTTAAATTCAGTTTTAAATATTCTAATGAACTCTGAGTAATTTATATGATCAAAATCTGAAATATGCAGTCTTAATGAAAGTGGGAAAATCTTTTGAAACGCAAAATGAGATAACAGAAATTACGGAATTTGTCAACTACATAACGATAGCAATTATGTTGATATCTCAATGTTTGGTAGTAATAAATGATGACCTCTTCCTTAAATATTATATGATCAATTTACTTTCTTTCTAATTACTTCAGTTATTACAGTGTTCAACGTATGATTTTGACTTTTGCTTTTTGTCACCTACATAACGATACTGTCAACTACATAACAAAAATGTCCACTACATAACAAAATTAGGTCAATTGTTATGTAGTTGACCGTTATGTAGTGGACGTATTCACACTTTGGGGCATTTTTTAATACCACTGATACTTCGACATCACAAACACTGTGCTTTTTTCTATAAAACACAGAACATTGATTATAATGATATAGATATGGACGTGATGTTCCATTGTTATCGTGATAAAAAAATCCCGTTACCAAATGGACAAGTTAAAAAAAACGGGGCTACCTCTACTTACTTAAATGCCAAAAAATGTTGATACCATTTACAGAGTTATCTTTTTATGCTTCCATTATTATAATGATATGTAGAGTTATAGCTGAGGCACTTTCTAGATACAAAAGGAGTGTCAGAAGTTATATTATAGCAAACAAAAATTGTTTTCGTTTGTAGTTGACAAAATATCAAGTACACTATAAAACATTAAGATAAATCTGAAACCAAAACCAACTACTATTTAAAGGCTTTATAATATCAATCTACATTGTATTTTCTATCTAAAAACAGAAAATTGTAAGAGTTGTGTAATTGTAAAGATGTCTATTTTGATACGATATTTGGTATTTTTGGCGTTGGGTCATGCAGTTTGGGGTCATTTTAGAGCTTTGAGCACGAATTCCAAGAAAATCAACGGACCTATTCCTTTATTTGTCTTCTGCAAGTAGCAGAACTTACGTTGCACTATACAGGACATCAAAATTCAAATGATGACAAAGCCGTCTTTTCCTCAAAGGTCAGTCGTACAAGAATATGGACAGATTTTGAAAAGACCCATAAACAAGTTTAACCACGTGTTTAGTTTCTTCTTACATATGTCTTAAGGCCTCCACTTAATTATCAAGAAACCTACCAGTTTCCAAGTGGCAACCATTAAAAGGGTTTACCAAGACACACATCCATTTTTGTAACAGCCACGCACCGTTGTGTACTTCGATGGTTTCATGGAATACTAACTAAAAAGGGTATACTTGAATATCTTCACCCACTTAAGGACGTTAAACTAAAACGACTATTTTGATATGAACTGCTCTTTTAAGTTTTTTAACACAAATCTATAAGTTAATTGGCGATATTCAATCATTCTGTCTATCTTCAGACACATTCAATGCAGCAAATCAAGTAATATTCAAACAATTCGTCTGCCAGTCAATTTAGATTTCGATTTCAGTAGCTGTTACAATGTATTGATCAAATAAATGCATAACAATACATACTGAATTGTCTGGCACCGAACTTAACATGACTTGATTGACTGCAAGCAAACAAGTGTAAACGGTACTTTATGTAACTCCAGGTACATAGAACTCAAAAACTTACTTTAAATCTAAACTTAACTTAACATGTCAAGATGACAATCGCCGTTTTAGAATAAAAAGTTTACTAGTATACTCTATCCTTGTGTCTATTATACTTCAAGCAGACATCAAGCAATTGTACCAAATTGTAACGAGACCGGTTAGGTAAAAGAATGCATGACTGAGTGTATCGAGAATTGAAATATGCCTGCTTTGCAATGCAAAGTTTAAGTTCATTCGAATTGATGTTAAAGTTAAAAGAACAAGTATGTATAACAATTGTAAAAGTTTTTTCATGTACATTTTCCAAGAAAATCTTGTTTCAATTGTGTGATCAGTAGTGTGGTCACCGCAACAAATCATTGTAATTGTAACAGCAATAATAGTTTAAGTAATCATTGTTTAACTAATGTGTTGTCTATTCAGAAGTTATACAACATTAATTTTTTGTCACTCAGGAATTGGAAACGCCAGTTTGCAATGCTGTCTGAAATCCCTCCATGTATACATTGACAATTTATCTTGTACTATAATCAATCTAAAAACCAAAGATATGCCAGAAATGTTCCTCTACGCTACCGATAGTCTTAACAAATAATACCTTATTGCACGAGACAAACAACATTGTGTCAAAATGGTGTGTAAACATGTACTATGATTACTGATTAATCTCACAGAAGTCATTTTCCATTCTTTTTTTCACAACTTGTGCCAAGTCAAATAACCAGGTAATATAGGTTGGTGGTAGTCTTTGTTTTGGTTAATTGATAATACATATTTCTTGTAGAAAGTAGTCGTCAGTGATTGGAACCGTACAATCACAGGTACTGAAAGATTTATTATATTAACTTCAGTCAAATAACGACTGTCAGCCAAAACGGAAGATTAACTGGTGTTAATGTAACTTCTAACATCATGTTTATTCTTTTTTTTCTGTGTTTGTTGTTGTTTTTTGTGAGTAGATTCAGTACATTTATGTGTACTGATCCAAGATTAACTTTGCCTATTAAAACATTAGGGTTATATATGTTTGCGGTAAACGTGTCTGTAATTGCTGGAAATTGGTAATTGCTTGACCGTAGACCGATATTTAACTAAATCATGAAATGAATACTTTATTAGACTGTGTTACATGTAGATACGTATATTTTGAAATCAGGTTGAAACTGTTTAATTATTATCACTTTTCAATGATCATACTCATCTTTCTAATCCGTTTCCCTGGTACTCTCCTAATGCGGGACATGCTTCTTTTAATTGATTTATAGTTGGAACCGAGTTTTTTCTGAATGCGCCCGACTTGTTGGACCTAAGCTAATATGAATTAATCGTTGCTGTTATTAAATTTTATTGCATTAATTGCAGAAAACAGTTAAGTCAAATTAACTCTCTGAACATTTAGATTATCAATTGGGTCTAAGAAAATTTTTACGATAACAGTTGAATAAAAAGGCTAATCAAATGGTTTCTTAGAAGGCAACCAATGCGTCTGAAAAGGAAACTCAAATAGATTTATAAAACTTATTTTTGAACTGACTATCTTCTTTTTCAATTAAGCAAATATATGGGGAAAACATTCATATTAAATTATGTATGGAGGAGATTTATCAATTTAGTTTTACGCAATTTCTAATTATTTTATGTACAGATATAGATCACAACTTAGGTCTTAATAAATTAAGATCATGAATAAATCATCGATGATCGTCTGGATTTAACGCTGATTTGTTTTATCAAATATTACAACATATAGAACGTGCTCTGCTATTTTTCCCCCAAGCTTACTAATTCCATACATCTGACACCGAAAACTTATTACATTTGTAAATGAACCACAAGAATTTTGTTACAATTTTAAAATTAGCATACATGCAGATAAAACAGTTTATATTAAGAAACGATAATGAAGTTGATATAAACACACAAGATGTACGCAAATATAAATTTCATTTTGATTTTGATACATGCATTTCTGTAAATGGACAAAATGCAAGTGCATAACCTTGATGTTGTAATATTTTTTTGAATTTTGTCTCATTCATATATTTATTATTCCCGACTCTTTTTCGAGTGTTCATGCTGTTGGTCACTCCATATCTTTCAGTACAGACATACAGAGTAATTTCAGTGAAGCATCACATTTACATAATTGTTCTCTTTTTCAGTGTGGAGTGTCACATCAATGGCGACATTAAAACCGGTATTCAATAAAACTCCCGTGAATGTAACATTTTACCGAGGCGAAACAGCGACTCTGCCATGTTCTGTTAGTAATCTGGGTTCAAGCAGTGTAAGTATAGAACTTACAGATCTTTTTAGTAATATTGAAAAGCTCGAATTTGACTCTGAAACTTGATAGTTGTTTACCCTTTCCGTTTAGTGCAGTAAAGAGCAAAGTTCATGAGTAGATAACAAATTGTTTACTACTTCAATGTACAGCCGAATTTGGTTATAAATATACAGACGTCAAATAATAAAGAAATTTACTAGAACCAAATGTTACATTACAATGAATAGAAAATGACTGTTACATAACCATTGCTCTCCTATGAAGCAAAGACTTAGTACACTGTCTTACTTTATAATAATGGAGTCAAATACAGGATTTCGGAAATGTTTTTTTTTTTATGAAAAAGCAATACTTAACTTACATGTACTTAAAATTTAGATATTAGTCAGTAACTTATTGATTACTTATATTCTGGCTTTTTCTCAGGGGAAAATTCTTCTTTCAGATATACAAGAGATCATCCTGAAAACGGTTATTTCATTGACTATGATTATATCTTATTTCATCACACGTTTGTCTGGTATTCATTGATTCAGCGCTATTTTTGTATTCTAAACGTTAAATTCGTAACCTGCAATTTCATAATAAAACCAATTGATATATTCGATTTACACATACTGGGTAAAACAATTTAATGACTGGCGCCTTTGTCCTTCCACCGTGATAAAGGTACATGTATGTAAAATATTTTTTTCACTTGTCGTTAGACCAAAGATAATACACACCCATCATCATGACCGTGGTTGCAAAGCAACTTGTCAATTTCAACTATATTTTGAATTAGGATTTTAATTTACACAATCGTGATTATGTAGTAGTTTATACAACACTGTCATTCATTTAAAACAATGCCATTCGAAGTGTTTGAGCATCACTACTTTTCAACACTTTGTACATTGGACCATTCATTGGATACCAATGGCCGTTTTCCCCGCCTTCTTAAATTGATTGACAACCGTCTATTGAAAGTCATCTCGGGACAACTAAAATGAATACATTTTGAAATATAAATCTATTAAATTAAAAATAATTTTGAGTAGAAACAAACTACTTTTTCCATTCCATTTCAAACCAAGCAATGCGTTTTTCAAGACATTTAGTCAAACATTTTATTATTTTTAAAATGCGTCTCTCTTCCAAAACAGGGAAAACAATTCGGTACACAAGAAAGAAAATTCAATCCCAATACATTTAGTACCGATGTTTCAAATACGTATCAACTAGCTCTGATAATCAACCGTGAAAGATATTCTGGAGTCGCAATTTTTACGAGATCCATTGTTTTCAATTAAATATGAAAACAGAGCAGTTGTATGCATGCAAGATAATTTTTATAATTAACATTGTACTTGCTTGAAAATATTGTGTAGGAAAGTTCTCTTTTGCACAAAAGTCAGTAAAAAAGAGTCTCTCTTCGATTAAAATTTATACATTTTCGCTACGTGCGTGAATATGCATTTGTAAAAGAGGCATTTCATTCCACACACTAGTCTTAAATGTCAATCTTTACTAAAAACTCACGATGTCTTTTATGAACAAAAATATTATAGATAAAAACAAGTGTTTTTGCCGGATGTTCTTCGATGCAAAAAGAAACGGCCAATTTCCACTGCATTTGTTTAACTTGCAAGGTCAATATCTAATAGTTGCAAAATCCTACTGGAAACTGATTATTAAACAGTCTTTATCATGTTATTAAATATTGTTTCCCAATCTAAATTATTATCTGTCGCTGATAAAGGTATATTTTGATACAATACTGCAAATTTTACATGTTTTGGTAAAAAAATTTGCGCCGTTAACTAAATTTAATTAATATCAATCCGAAAGACATTACATTATAAACCTTCTTTATCATGGTGAATTGGTAATAATATGTACTTTCGAACTTATTCTTTGAATAAAAAAAGTCTGTGGTGTAATTTATAACGCACAAAAATATGTTTGACTCGCATTGGTCAAACAGATGTTGGGATATAGGAATTAAGTTTTTTTTTCGCAAAAATTGTTTGATTTTAAAGAAATATTGGAAGAGAGAAACACATCAACATCCAATTGCAAGACATTTTTTTTACAATCCCTGGAGGGAAAGGGTTCGATTTCAAATAATTAGCTACACATGGTCTTATCATTTTATTTAACTGTTTGTTGTATTCAAGATAAAAGCTTTCCAGATAGCTTATCGAATTTTAAACAATCATTTTTTGATTTGGTATATGTACAATATAAAATAAGGAGATGTGGTATTATTGCCAATGAGACAACTTTCCACCAGGGAGCAAATGACGTAGATAGGTCGTCGTACGGCCTTCGCCAATAAGCAAAACCCATAACCGCATAGCAAGCCATAAAAGGCACAAGCATAACAAAATGTAAAGCATTCCAAACGAGAAAACAAAAGCCTTAATTATTTTCATTTGCCTATGCATGATAAAGAGGTGTGTACCTTCATAGTCATGATATATTCCCAGTTCAGTGTTCTTAGTATCATGCAGTAGACTTTTGAAGATTCCGCCTTTTCGAAACTATTTTTGTCATGGTGAAACCGTGAATTTGCAATACAAATCAATTTTTAAACAGAATTATAACATTTGCCTAATTGTTTCATTTGTGTATTTTCTACATAAATTTATTGTTGATATCACAAAAAATATACATTAAAATGCTCTTAAAGAAAATACAAAATCTAAAATTGTATATCAAGTTATCGCCAATGCCGCTTTCCGATTTCAAACCATTAGAAAATTTGTCTTTAAACAATAACATCACTATTTTCTATGCACAATTCTGAGTGCACAATTTTCTATTTTAATAATAAAATTGATTTGATGCACACATGTATTTCACAGGCTTTAACAATTGTCACTTTTTCAGGAAATATTCTAAGCTCCTTTTCTGTTCCGAAATACAGGATATGCTTCCTCTCTGTGTATTAATTTTGCTGAAAATAGTTGCATGGCAAGCAACTGAAATGTAAATCACTGTATCACTGTAAGGTTGAATTATCGGACAACAGCGAATTATGATTTTTTACAAAAGATGAAATTAGCCGAGTGTTGGACATGTCAATTCATAAACATTGACTCTTTTCCAGCAGTAACTAACAGGTCAATCTCTCCAGTCCAGAGGTGGTTTGTGCAATAAAGGAAAAACGATATCTTTCTTCGCCCTAAAAAATGAATTCTAATTTCTTACAAAATGTATTATTAAATTTATCTCTAACACAATGAAAATACTAAAATAAGGCGAAATGATTTGAATATTGAAAGGAACCAAAAATTGAATCTATCAATTTGCATATTTGATTAAATTTGGTGTAAGTTTTCTGCACTCGGTAGATGGATATTTTTTCTCTTCTCTTTCAGAGCTCTTCCAAATCATTGAAATATGACGACACCGGAAATAAATCGTTGATATATAGAATGTGTTGCGAGCTACTATTGCCTTGCGGCATGAAACTTACCCCCCAAAAGCAACAGAACCATGCAAAGTATATGTTTTTTTTTACAATAGTTTGCCACGTTTTTAAAAAAAAATTATTGGTTCTAAATTTCTTGACCGAGAAGAATAATTAATTTCATAACGGGAAGTGAAAAAAAATAATTATAAAACAATGAAATATACATAATTGAGTTTGAATAAAGTTGAAATGACAGCAAATATTCCACAGAGATAATATATTTATTCAAATAGTACATACCTCGAACCCTTAAATCGTCATTTCTCTGTAGACCCTATACATTGCTTTAAGTCGGTGCGACCTTATCCACCAGCAACACATGTCCACAAACAAAACTTCGGGTACATGAGGAACCCTTCTTGCTTTTTTCTTCATTATGAGCTAGACCTAGTTCGACCTTGGCGTCTAATTTTTAAAATACTTCATTGATGATCTAATCACTACTGCGTACATGCAAAATCTTAGTTCCCGTGAACATTATTAACGAGTTGTTGGTATTTCAAATTTCATCAAAATCTCTTCCGTGGATTTAAGCAGGAACATTTATATTGATATACTGTTCCCAGATTTAAGCCAGCTGTCTGACAGGCTTTAAAATCGATAAGATAAAATTAAGAGGTCAATTTATTCAAGTGAATTTAAGTTCAGTGGTACATTCTAATGTACAATGGGTAAATGTCTGGTTAAAAATAAATCTTATCTTTGATGTGCCGCATACTAATCCCTATTAAGTAAGACAGTCCGTGCGTGACCCATGACATAAGATTTTTATGCATTTCATTGGCTATTTTCTATCAAAATACAGACGAGCTAGTAACCTATATTAATTTACGTGTCGGAAGACGAATTTACACATTTTTGTTTGATTTTAATTTGTGAAAATTTAAATAAACTGAACTCTAGAACAGATTTTTTCGGGACGTCGGGTTGGGCCTTTACTTTGCCGGAAATTTTAACCCGAATAATCCAGTCGTTATATTTTAATCACTTCGATCACTACATGAAAACAACGACCGTAAGGGGGCGCTGTTATTATTCGAGTTACGGGAATTCGGGATTTACATTTATTAGGACTCGGGAATCAATGATTAATTTTTCGGGTTTCGGGAAAGAATGCTTTTTAGTGGTGGTGGGGGGTTTCGGTATTCAGCCTTTATTTTTCAGGAAATTCGGGATTACACCCCTCCTACCCCCTCTCGCTCTCTTTAGCAGACAATGTTGAGAAAAAAAAAAAAGAAAAAAAATCATTCTGTATGAGAATTTGAATTTGTTAAATATTTGCAATTCTTAAAAAATCACAAAACTTGCAGATTTTTTGTATTTCTTTAGGGGAATGACTAAAAAGGGGGGATATACACGACGTCCCAAACTTAATCTTCAATTTCATGTTCAACGTTACTCAACACCTTTATTACTGAAACAATTAGAGATATCAATAATAACTATGTAAACTTTTTTTTTATCGTTATCGAATACTAGTTCCCAACTAAATGTCTAAATATATCCGTTTTGAATATTTTCCCCGAAATTGACAGCTAACTGAAGTCAGTTCAAAGAACCTCAGTTTTTTGTAGGCGTGGCAATCTATCACTTTTATCCAATCAACTGTCCTTTATGATAAAGATTGGCGTGCGATTGTAGTTGAAACAATGTAATTTATATAATGACATTGTAATAGTTCTAGGACACAGTTATATCAACATCAAAAGGCAATGTACTTTATTGTTGAAGCTGTGAACTACTGATTCAAAATAAAATTGATTTCGACAAGTTGCTTTGTAACCACTGTCATGATGTTGGGCGTATATTAGGTATTTGGTGTTTCTACGCGCTGAGCGTACCACCATTCTGAACAAGTGAAAAATGTGTAGAACATAACACTGTGTCGTAGTTCGGTGAATGTCTTATTAGATAGAAATTTCTTGAATGTTCTCGTCCCGAATATGCATGTAAAACAAGATATTATTCTGGAATATAAACACGCCTTGTTTTTGTTTCAAATCTGTATTCGTGAAGACCCTTTTAAGGAACATTTAGGCATATCCTCCAAAGCATATTTGAAACAATTATAAATAACATGTAATTACAATAATAAATTTGTAATTGCGCTACATCTAAAGGTTATAACTCGATGAGTCGAATTTTCGCTATACGATTTTGATGTTCGGTTAAGACCCTTTTGGTTTCAATCTACCAACTGTTTTATTATGACTTTTCAAACTTTTTGTCTCGAATATACACAAGTCATTCAACAAATATACTGATGCAATGTTACGCCATATTTGATTAGATGTTGTCAATTACACGGTTGATGACCGAGTCATTGGCAACGACACTGTGCAATTACACATGTCTTCCTGGAATATTTCAGATGTGTTATTTTAAACATTTATGAGTATAATTTTCATGATAAAAGGAATAACAGTACTGTATTTGAATAGTTGTCATCGTTAATTTTTGATTTGGCGGTGGCAACTGTATGAAAATGGTACTGTGTTTTAAGTGTGCGCACTGAAATGCACCATACTTTCATATTCCTGATATTTTATATTCATTCCAACCTACCACCATATCAGAGAATTACCATAGACAGGAATTTGTATTATGATATGTCTAGGGAATGAACTATTTTGATTTATAGCTTGATTAATATATAAGATCAAATAGTCAAGAAATCACCTTTAATTGTAAATAATGTACATCTACCAAACATAAAAAGATAGTTATTTGTGTGTTTGGTAAAATATGATTAACAGGTGATCGTTTATTTGTGTATTTTTGTTTTTGTTGTCTTTCATACAGAGTGAAGTGCTTTCCTTTATTGCTATCATTGTATGTTCTTTTATGTGCCATTTGCCATTACATTAATCGAGATCAAAAGGGTTAAGATCTGCCGAAACTTAGTTAGCCCCGCCCTATATTCATGTGTCAGTACCTATTAAGAAACCTCGTTAGTGGTTGTCTTCTGTTATATCTTAAATAATGATAGGTGCTTGAGTTGGTTGGTTCAAGTTAGTTTTATGTTCGTCTTTTCTTTCTGTTGACCTTGACGTGTATATTTTCTTTCTGTTGACCTTGACGTGTATATTTTCTTCAACTTACGGTTTGGATTGTTCTTTTGGTATCTTCTCTTTTTTAAATGTTTGTTGTTTATTTCTTGATCTATTTGGTGTTGATTTCTCCTGCGTTGTTGGATTGTTAAAATGAAATTCACAAATCAAACACACCTACAACATGCTTGAGAATTAGCCTATAATTGACACTATATTTTAAATTTAGATTGAAAACATATTTCTCAACTGGTTTTACAATGTTAATGCACTGTCCTTACTTTTGATTCGTTCTTTACTGAACTATAATAGTTGACTCCGCCCATAGAAAGGTGATATCTTAACTAATAATGATTTCATTGTTCAGCTATCAAGCAAGCTTACCAACTATTTTGCTTTTACCTACACACTCAAGTCATTGTGCTGTAAAAATACATCTTTAAACTCGTAGACTGTTCATTCAGTAACCTAGTCTATATAAAGCCCGTCTCACTTTGAAGGGAGATAACATTTTATGATATAGTTCCATTCAAACATCATCGACTATCAACTAGTATTCAGTTTGAAAACTTGATTGTATCTTCTGAAATCCAAATAAGCCATCATTTACGAGATTCTTATCCGACAGCCTGACACTTTGCGTAGAGATGCCATAATGAGTCATGGCTTGTGAGATACATTTATGTTTGTTTTTTGTTTTTATTTATCAAAATTAAATGGTTGACAATTATGTTTTGAATTTTATAACTGAATTATTTCTATAGTATCATTAAATACACCTGTTAAACTGATCGTCACAAAAGATATGCATTTTAAACTATTTTCACGCCCAATCGCCACTTCAAAATGTCTGCGTTTATCTAAATCATAGCCGTTAATATTACGCAATATAAATTCGATATAATTATATAAATTGTTGACAATTTAGCGGTATCCTTCACTTACAATATGACACGTTATGAAACAGACAACGATCTCTCAATTACGAGTAACTTTCAGAACTCTCGATGTTCTCCAATACCCGAAATATAAATGCGAATAGAGGTCTTGATTGTGTTTTACTTATCAGCTTGATGCAATAAACTTGCAAGCATTGTAAATAAAGTGTAGTGTGTCTAATTAGATTTTTGTTTAAGATTGGAATAAAATTAATGGAAAAGTAATGTTTATCCATGGCCTTTTTTAGATTAATTGCCAAATAAATTTGATATCTGTTTAAATATAAGTTAGATTTCTCATTGGTTCCAGTTGTATATATGCAAATGCAAACTAGGAAAATGACGAGATTAGACCAAAATACGTGTTTTAGTATTCACCTTGACACATATGTTCTTTGTTGATAGTCGGTGACATTACCGTATATCCTTAAATCTAAATGTCATTCATCGTCTATAATCCAAAGAAACAGCATTTTACGCCTGTTTTTGCTAGAAGATTCTTACCACTTATTTTTGAGGCTTGAAGGTTAAGATAAATCTCTAAACAATATTTAGCTTTTATTAAGTCCATGTGCTGTTTATTTAGAGTGTATAAGACAGACATTTAAATATGAGTCAGGTATCTTAAAACCAATAGAATAAGTTTTAGCTCTGGAGACCTAGGACAAGCAACAAGAATGAAGACTATTAAATGGCACTGACAATGACACTTGAAAAAAGAAAGTAAAGTTGTATCCGCCCTTAAAAACATGAAGACGGCTTAGATTTTTGTATACATTTCAATAGTGTGCCACGGATAGTTTGAGTAGTCCATTTTTTAAAAACTTTTTTATTACTTGAAACTATCCTTCGATTTATTCCTTGAATTATCAATAATTCACTTTCATTTTTCATTTAGGTGGTATGGAAGAGAATTGACGAGCCACACGTGTTAACAGTAGGAGAATTTGCTTTTGTGAGTGACCCAAAATTTAGTGTTAAACACATTCCATTCCGAGATGAATGGAATCTAATAATAGATCACGTGGAACCACAACATTCCGGTCGTTATGAATGCCAAATAAGCACAAAAGACGACATTGTCAGATATGTTGACCTGAATGTAATAAGTAAGTATTTAGACAATTCTAAACGGAATAATAGACCAACGTTACGTCACATTTACGTTAAGTTCATTAAAACAATCGTTTGCTTTGGATGGATTCACAATTGCTTTGGTCTTTTTGTCCATTATTTTTACCGAGTTGTTCTTCGATATCAATCGTGTAAGGAAATATAATACAAGAGTTCATTAGTAGCATTTATTGCAATTTGTAAAGATAGCTTTAATTTATCACTATAAGATTTATAGTACTTTTGACCGAGTCTATCATCTAATGTCACTTACAATATTTTAAAAAGAAGTAAACTATGAAAAGCTGCTATGCATATTGCAAAGTTTGAATTTCTCCAAATGTGTACCAGCATTTATATTACAGTATAAGGACTACGAAGCGTTAAAATAAAGTACAAAGAAGAATGCACGCGTTGTCGTGCTCAGCATATCCCACTCGTAATTCAAAGTCAGAAAAAAAGACGTAAGCGTCATGATCCTGCCAGATCCGAAAAGCGCACAAACATTATAACTAATCACTGTTCAGCTGCTGACCAAATATAAAGTCATAATATTCAAAAAGTGTGTTGAAAATTTTTGTTGGACGAACAGATGAACTAAATAAAGACCCCACTTTTAAGAGTGTGGCTACAAAAAATAGAATATCTATATTATTACTGTATGACATCTAAGTAAAGAAAATACAAGCTGACATTCACTTCAAATAATTGATTTCCATATACATAAAGATATTTCATAAGATGGCACTTATACAGCAAACAGTGTACAACAATGGCATGATCTATCATTGAAAAGAACCATCAGCATGTATAAATAAAGTTATATAAGAGGTATATTTTGGCAAGAATAGTCAATTATATCAGGCCATAAACGGATAAAATTATCTCCTTAAAAAGAAAACACACAAAATTGTTGTTGATGCAAAACAAAGTTGAATGACTGATCTTATTTCTTATCTCAATTATACATGGTACACAGTTTCATTATGAAAATCAAAGCGCTATTGGGTATGCGTTACAGGAAGCTGTGCGTGCAAAATGTCAGGAAGAACATCTTTCGAAATAATTGTCATGCTTGCCGAGCAAAACAACGAACACATTTGTCATAACTGTTTGAAGTTAAAGTATTTAATTATTCTTTAGACTGTAAAAGATATGAAATATGGTTAAATTTTTGTGTGATTTAAACGTAATCAATAGTGATGACAGCGGAAAATAATAATTTAGATAATTGTTCTTTTTACAGATGAACCAGGTCATGACAGTAAGCGTAAGTTAATTTATCAAGTGCTAAAATTATGATATAATTATACCTAACATTCACAAAGATCAAATATCAAATGATAGCATAAAAATATACTATGAAAAATTACAAGTTATCATAGATTATTAGAGTATTTATTTTCGTGTGATTAAAATACGGTTCAATTTTCTTGTATAAATTTAGGATTGAGTAAAAATATGAAGGAATATTGAACAGATATATCATGTTATGGAGGGGTATTTGCGAAAAATACCAGTCAAGGGACGGTGAAATTTCCCAAGCCGCTAGGCGAAGGAAATTTTGTCCCAAGACTGGTATTTTTCGCAAATACCCCTCCATAACATGATATATCTGTTTAATTACACCGAATAGATTTTGATTGAAACTGTCTGTACATGTAAAGGGAAATCGTTGTACCGCGGACATTATACATGTACTTGTATGCGTTAGTGCTGTCTTTTTGTAACGTCATGGTATCTAAATGTGTAACGTCATTGTTATTCCATCATTAAACCGTTCATGTTTTTCCCCTCTTTCTATGTATATTTCAGGCAGTTTTCGGTTTAACTCAATCAATAGTGCTTAACCATTTTGTCGTGATAAAGTGAGAAAGGTTCCGAATAATTTTGGCGGGAACAGGCTCGCGAGGGTAAAAAAGGAATATCCAAAATGGCAAATACCACGGCAGAGAGGGGAATTTGAGGCAAATTCACCAGCAGTGGTGAAAAAACAGGCAAATTCGTTTGAAATGAGGAAAAAATGTTAGAATATGCGAAAAATACACTGGCTAACAACCAGTCAAAATCCGGTATTCTTATATAAGGTGTAATTATGTGTATTAGTTCATTACTTTTCTCAACATCCACTTGATTAAACCGAAAGTGAAGGAACAGGATCCACATCGGTCAAATTTATTTTCCTGATATGACTTGTACTTCATGAGGTGTGTTTGTTGATATTTGATAATATTTGTTATTGCATTTAATGTAAATGTATGCACATTTTGCAGTTTTCCTTGACCAATACGTTAATAATTTTCATTAATAAAAAAGTATGAATGAATAATTTGATTATAAAATTTAAGAGCACAAAAAACTCTGATATACAAAAGTACAAATGCGTCAGACTAGGGACTTCAATTATGTGACATAGTTTATTCAGTAAATGTTAGTGACCTGTTGTCTTTAATGCTTACATTTGGAATGCATATGACATACAGATAGGAAAACAACGATAAATTTGGAAATACATTGACCAGTAACGCTTTACAGCTTTACATACACATTTACGTCCAAATTTTATTAAAGTGTATATGACTGTACATGTACCAACGAAAGTCCATTGACGATATTAAAGATGCTAATGTTTTTCAGTTGTCATTTCACTATAAACAATGAATTGTAGTGATTGAGATTTCTATGATCCTTAAAAAATCTAAGCATTAATTAGTCCCATTACATCTTATTATCAATTGGCATAATCTCAGTTCCATTACATCTTGTTATCAGTTGTTATAATCTCAGTTCCATTACATCTTATAATTAGTTGTCATAATCTCGGTTCCATTACATCTTATTATCAGTTGTCATAATCTCAATTCCATTACATCGTATTATCAGTTGTCAAAATCTCAGTTCCAATCCATCTAATTATCAGTTGTCATAATCTCAGTTTCATTACGTCTTATAATAAGTTGTCATAATCTCAGTTCTTTAACATCTTATTATCATTTGTTATAATCTCAGTTCCTGACATCTTCTTATCAGTTGTCGTAATCTTAGTTCCATTACATCTTATTATCAGTTGTCATAATCTCAGTTCTATTACATCTTATTATCAGTTGTCATAATCTCAGTTCCATTACATCTTATTATCAGTTGTCATAATCTTAGTTCCATTACATCTTATTATCGATTGTCATAATCTCAGTTCCTATTAATCTTAAACATGTAGTATTAGTTGTCATAATTTCAGCTACGAAAAAACACATAAATTGTCTAACATGCGTTTGTTTTTGGGTGGATACTGTTGTTAGTGATTAGAAATTTTATCTCTACGTTTTCTTGTTTATACATTAGATACGTGTACATCTTAAATAAAATTCAAGAAACAGGGCAAGAAAATCTACGTGACCGATGGTATACAAATTTGGTGATGTTTAAGGGTTAGACAAGCGTCAGTTACCAATCTGATAATATGTGATGCCTAACCACTTGATATAGCTTATCTGTGTATTTTATAAGAGTAATACAGACGGCGACAGTCACATGTGAGCAGGATCTGCTAACCCTTCCAAAGCACCCCGGATTTTGGTAGGGTTGGTGTTGGCCAGTCTTTAGTTTTCCATGTAGTGTTTTCTAGACTGTTGTTTGTCTTGTGGTCGTTTTTCGTTTTTTGCCATGTCATTGTCAGTTCGTTTTCGACTTATGAGTTTGACTATCCTTCTGGTATCTTCCGCCTCTATTCTACATTACCAGTTCATAGCACAGTGACTGAAAACTTGGTTTCATCCGTAATCACACAGCTAGTTCTATATTGAGGGAACAGATTGGACATATGTAGACATTTTTTTTTCTTATTTCAGACGTAAATATTGATGGTCCACACTTAGTGGAGAAAGGCCATCCTATAAGACTTACGTGTAATGCTTCAGGGAATTCCAGGTCACCGACAGATATAAAATGGTATATTGGTGGCAAGCGTTTATATAACGAATTGAACCATAATGTGAGGATAATAACATATCCTAGATCTGACGTCAATACTTTATATAGCGAACTACGTATAACAAAAAGTGACACGGAGGATAGTGGAACATACGTTTGCCAAACAACATTTTACAATGACATTCTTAAAGTGGCGAAGCATAACTTATCAGTGATAATTGGTAAGTTAATATTAGAATAAATGATGATAGCACTTTATAAATTTCGTTCGTTGGAAGAACTTTCTTGGATTTTACTTCATCAGAACACTCAAACTTCATTTTTGATTTGGCCTGTTTGGATTCGCGGCAATCTTGTGAAGACGAAACACTCTTTTCTAAAATCTTATTTGTTGACAAAAAATGCCAATTTGAGCAATATTCTTAATCATTAATCAGTCAGAATGTAAAATATACACCAAGATCGTTGTAACAAGTAGGCATTGGGGACAAAACAGATTGAACAAGGACCACATATCGTTTTAAACATTTCATGTAAGCATATTAATCACAATTTGAAAAATAAAATAATTAAACCAATACCTGTTCAAAAATCGAAATACAATATAGATTAGTGAATCACATTGATTCCAACAAAACATACACCAACGATGATATCATCAAAATGCTGGACTTTTTGATGGATAACCCATTTAGTGAGTTTGGTGGATTGATATTTCAACAGACAGTCGATAGTCTTATGGGTTTTAATTGTACGCGTCTACTGGTCGACTTGTTTTGTACTCATATGAAGCAGAATTCACGCAGAACCTTTCAAAGACAAAAAGAAAGAAAAAAAAAACATATTGCCTGTTTCCTGTTCCTGTCACCTTCAGATATATTGATGTTGTTCTTTCACCCAATAACCCCATTTCAATGAGTGATTGCATCTCTTATGTCACAGCGAACTTGATATTAAGGATACTATCGAAACTAGAAGGTCTGCTTCATATCTTGATCTTTTTTTCGATATTGCCACATATGGACCAGCTAGAATCTATGCCAATTGTAATGATTTCAACTTTTCAAATGTCAACTTCCTATTTCTCAGCAGTACCATTTCCTCTGCTCTGTCATATTGCGTTAACATTTCTCAGTTGATATATTAAGTATGGTCACACTATACGGACTTCGTAAACAGGCGTGTAAACCGTACACAAAAAAACTACTCCAACAGAGTTATGAAGAAGAACGACTGAAATCGACACTTAATAGGTTTTACAGTCACCATAAAGAGAAGGTTGACCGATACGATTTGTCAGTGTCTAAACTCCCTAGCAGCATGTTTTCACGGTCTGAGATCTTTAAATACAGTAAAGTCTGTAATTTTACTGATTGTCTCCTATTCGCTATTATGAATTTTGACTGAGTGTAGATTTGCATGACGGATGATGAATGCATGACAAGAGACGCTTTCCCTGTTGACGCACCAAGTCTCGCCTTTGGAGTGAATGCGATTCTCTTAGTTTTGTCTGTCCCACCTAAATCAATTTACGGGTTTTGAAATTCGGAAAAGTACTGTCGCCTTTATATAATACCAGCTTAATTATTACCAATTTAATTCTATATTAGTCAGACTTATGTTGCACAATTGTAACCTTTCTTGCTAGTGTTTTGGAATATTTTGTATGTTTTTTTTTTATTCTTCGGCCACGACATTTTATGTCCTCTAATTTTGATTCAAGTTATATTATCAACATGTGTGAATTAATAACAGAAATTATTATAATAATAATTTCATTGTGTTACCGAAAATACTGATTTAATGTTCCACTTTATTTTTCAGCCGATTCTAATCAAACAAAACGAGGTAGGTTATCTTTAGAACCAGTTATAATTTTATTAGTACACGCATGGAAACAAACAAAATGTTGTTTTTTTATCGACATTTGCAGTGAAAAAAGGAAAGTCATTGAAATTAAGATATGTATCTCCCTAATACACAGCTCTGATTCTCTGCCAAATTTTTTTCAGTAAAAAAGACATATTTTGTCATAATGCACATCTGGTGTAGTATATATACCCGTTAAATGTTTAAACTATTATTATTCAATGCAAGAGAATAAGAGAAGGTATGATGAAACTATTATATTAATATAAATCACCACATCAGTGATACAACAGTAATGTGTTTTAAGAAAAGGCAACCCAACACATGATTCATTCCAATCAGAAAAGGGATTAAGGGGTCATCATACTAATATAATAATAGTCTAGTCTAGTCCACGAATTTTCAATCTTTAGACATATGGTGAAATAAGCGAAAATAATATACAAAGAGATCGGCTAATTATACAATGTTCCTTTCTATGCAAGCAGAGATAATGAAAAATAAAATTCTAACGAGATTTCTGAGTTATGCTAGTATTAACAATATATTCAGTCGTAAATAGACGCGAAAGTAGACGTAAGTTGAAATAATGTTAGTTGTTGTATGATTTCTACTTAGATAACAATCCACAAAACGTCACAAGGACAGGGAGGTAAACTATTACAGGTCACAATACAGCCTACAACAATGAACTAGCTAAGGGTCCCGGATAATAAAATGTAAAAGTAACCGAGAAAACAAACGGTGTTATTTAAGCTAATAACATTAAACGAACACCGATAATGACAGACGGAAACTAAAGACAATACAGAACTTGCCTACAACTGTTTCTAAGTTGGCACAGAGTGATATTGATGTATATACAAAAGACAGAAGTCCTATAACATTCTAGAAAATAAACATTTATATTAAAAAAAATGTTTTGAATTTTGTGTTGGTCTTTATGTCGTCATTGGAAGTTTTTGTGCTTTGTTTGAAGCAAATATAATATTCTTTAGGTCTAAATCCGAATAATTCTTCCACTGTTGGTACTTAAGTTGTAATGTGTTACCACTTTAACCAGGTACACACAATGGTTACTTTCCGTGACAAAGTACTGTTGGGGAATCACCAAGAGGACTATTGTATAGAACGACTGTGTTATAAATCGTATCGTTTTGGTAAAAGTCGATATCAGTAAGAATAACTAATGACTATCGGATATTCACAGTGATTTTTGTATTGGATTTCACAAAAGAAATAAATTGCACAAACTGATTTCCTATTTTGAAAATGTTATCTACTTATTTTTATCGAAATGTTTTTTTCATCAAGGATTTTATTTCATTGAATTTCTTATCAGTCCCTTTTGACTAATGCATATCAATCGTGTTTCACATTTATGTTAGTAACATAAAGTGGGGAAAGAATAAAATTTCTAATCTTCGATTTTGCTTATTGTACATTGTAAATGTAACACCGTGATTAAAATAAATCCTCATTTCCGTTGGTATTAACAGACATGTAAAAGACGAATGCCCGATAATGTGACATTGATCTTAAATATCGGAACTTATTCTGACGCCGCGGTATGTTGACTTACCTCATTTTTTACAGAAGCAATTATTTGCACACCAAATAATAAGAGTGTGTTAGGTATAATACTGGTAGGTAGGATATTGAATTGACTGTGTAAAAAGGAAAGGAACTGCAGTGGATAGTGGACAGTACACATACAAAAGAAATCAAAATCAACGATACATACGTTTGTATATATACACAGATACGTATAAACATCAAACGATACATTTGTACATACAAACTACACATTAATACATACACAGGACACATATAAACATACATTGTTGAAGACCCGTTGGTGGCCTTGGGCTGTTTTCTGCTCTTTGGTCGGGTTGCTGTCTCTTTGACACGTTCCCCATTTCCATTCTCAATTTTAAATGACATACACATACATGCAAGCGACACATTTACATACAAATTCACATATATACAAACAAATGACGAAATGGATAAACATTCAAATGACATATATATAAACGAAAAAAGTCATATACGAATAAAAACACAAAATATCAATCTTTATGAAAAATTAACCCTTATTAGAACCAGGCGTGATATCAGGCAACCAGAAAGGGAAACTTTACCATAATGTCAGTTCTGATGAACACGGGGTTAAAGAAGTTGGCAATTCTTTATTAACTTTAATATATTAGGTTTTATTGCTCAGATAGACTAAATATCAATGCATTAATAAAAAAGAATACCGCACGGCGAGACATCAAATGTGTGCATTCAATTTGCAATTCAAATATTAAACAATTCTTTCTTTCGTCCTGCATTTACAATTTTATGGTTAAATGTACTTAATAGTTGATGGATATTGTTTCAGTCTACTTAGTTTGCATGAACTGTTTTTTTTCCAACCCAAAATGTATTTTTTCCATTTCAGGAACAATGGCAGATGGTTCTGTTAATTCAGTCAAAGACAATAAGCGACCTTCTTCACGGAATACAGGAAATGCCTCTAGGAGAATAGAAATAGCTTTTATGCCTTATCTTTTCACGTTTTTGGTGGCATGGTGCTTTGCACAATAATATTTTATAAGGTAACATATTATGTTTCTCTTAAGTAATCGAGTCTCAGAAACAAATTCTGATGGCTTCTAAAACAAATAAAGACTAATTACCAGTTTTTATTCATATATTAGGATTTTGATTTCCAACTTCTAAAACTAGCTGTTCGTGGTCTTTTGCATCACGTACACGATTTATACATAACATAATCATATTGAATATAAAAGGAAGACCATCTTGAAGGACATATGTGCTAAGACAGTTATTTTTCGAAAGATAACAAACATCACATTTAGTTATAATTCTCCTTAAATTGAATACCATGATAAAAGATAATAATTAAGTTTTGAGATAACCATAATTATTCAGTGTTTTACGGTTTGGTGTGTAAATTGTTGAAGAGAGCAATTGAGCAATACTCTGGTTGAGATTGTATAACGGCACGACATATCCAAAGTGAAAACAATGTACTTTTTCATAATTGCAAATAAATGCACAGGGATTCTTTTTACAAGAATTCCGTTGTATACGTGGACAACTGGATATATAAGTACGTAGAAAAGTTATATTATTAAATATGGGACCTAATTCAGCTGAGATAAACTTTACCGAGGGATTTGTTGATTTCTGTTTTATGCACTAGCTGTTCGTGTCTTCTCGGTTTTTTTCATGGTTATGTCTCCTTCTAGTTTAGAATAAATATTCAGGTGTATTGAGAAGATTTATAAAACTACAGTAGAATTCATATATATTCTTGTAGTGTATAAACTCATAAGTGACGCCCAAAGTATATAAGGTATACTTTCTTTGTTTCTTGAAAGAGCCTGATTGATAGTACATGAGCTAGCTGGTCCTCAGTCAGTTGTTTTTCTTATCAGTCATGTCATAACTTAATGCATTTGTTCATTGAATAATTTAGTGTTGATAGCAGATATTTGAATGTTTCTTTTTACTAAACCACTGCTTTTGTAGACTCGAGACGAATCAGTGTTTGACATTTATTATATAGACACATGTCTATTGTTGAAGACTATATGTTGATCTTATATGTCTTTTATGATGGATTGCTCTCTAACTGATGTATAAACCATATTTTATTTATTCAAATTTCACAAATATAAATAAAAACACCACACACACGGAAAGTATCTCATGGTCTTTTATTATAAAATTCCCATTGGACGTGGAGATTAGTGAGTCCCATAAATAAGATACATTGACACGGTGGACCTTAATAGAGCATTAACAAGACAAAATCCTATATATATTACTTATATAGTAGGTAGCTTTCTCCCTGTATCTGTCGGTTTGTTATATTTGTCTTGACTACAAAACACAGCATCTATTACGTCAGATGCCTCTACACATCATTAATCAATTACCAAGAAACTTTATTGATTCCACAATAAAGCAAAAGTCTTTTTTGAAAAGCATTACAACATATACAAATTATTTGTTTTGTAAAATTACCGATTGTTAATGTAGCGGAACTATTTATGTATTTATTAATAACCTAAATTTCCTTTGATCGTATTCACTGGATTAACCATAATATTCGATATTATGGGCCAAATATGATTGAAGATAGATTTGACATGTTAAACTTTGTCTTTAACCATTCATTTAATCACTTGTAAAAGACTTTTGTGGATAACAGTATGTTTTTGACACATTCCCCGTTTCCATTCTCAATTTTATAAAGAAGATTGTCTTCCAATATAAGTATTTACTTGACAAATGACGATGGTTTCTTTTGTCGGAAAAGTATGTGTTGCCCTATATATGTCTTTATTTTTGTTTTTAAGTTGCTGTCTTATTGATGTATAATCCCCATCCTCTTTTATTCATTATCAGGAAGATGTGAAAAAAACTTAAAAAGAAAGTTTGTCATATTGTTAACGATTGATACGCAGATTGACCAGTAAAGGAAATAAAATACATTGAGATTGTGAACCCTTATAGAGCCTTACCAAGATAGACGCCTATATTTTACTACTATATGTAGTTTTCACCCTGTATTTGCAGTTTTATTATATTTGTCTTGATTACAAAGCACAACATCTTTTACGTCAGGTACCTTTACACCTCTTTAATCAATTTCTAAGAAAAATTATTGATCCCACAATAAGCAGAACATTTTCTTAAAAGGCTTTACAAGTTTTAAAAAATATTGTTTGTACATTAATCGACGGTTAATGTAACTGAAACATTTATGTATTTATTAATAACCCTAATTTCCTTTGATCTTGTTTACTGGATTAAATATAATATTCGATATTATGGGACAAGTATGATTGACAATAGAATTTACATAGAAAACCTTTGTCTAAAACTATCCATCTATAACTTGTTAAGAACTTATAAAGGAAACCCTTGGATAAAAGTCTTTTAAGTGGAGGGAGATTTGTCTTGCAATATTAGTATTTACTAAAATAATTACGAGATGTGTTTTTTTTGGTACAACAAAGACACCATTCTTTTGTTGACTAATTGTTGCCCTTTATATCTTTTTTGTTGTTGTTGTTGTTGGGTTGATGTCTAATTGACGCATTACCAATATTTTTTTCCCTCATTTATCAGTAAGATGTGGAAAAAGGCATACATAGAAAGTTTATCATGGTGTTTTATAATAACATTGCACATGGACGCGCAGATTAGTTAGCCACATAAATAAAATTCATTGAGAGTGTAAGCCTTAATATAGCGTTTTTAAGATACACGCTAATATATATCACTAGTATAGGTAGTTTTATTCCTATTTCTGTAGTTTATTATATTTGTACTGATTACAAAGCACAGCATCTATTACGTCAGATACCTTTACACCTCATTATTTAATTTCTAAGAAACGTTATTGATTCCACAATAAAGCAGAACTTTTTCTTAAAAGGCATTACAAGTTTTAAAAAATATTGTTTGTACATTTTTCGATGCTTAATGTAACTGAGCCATTTCATGTATATATTAATAACCTTAATTTCCTTTGATCTTGTTTACTGGATTAAACATTATATTCGATATTATGGGCCATGTATGATTGACAATATATCTAACATGGTAAAACTTTGTCTAAAACTATCCTGTCAAAAATTGTAAAGAACTTATGAAAGAAACCCTTGGATAAAAATATTTTAAGTGGAGGGAGATTTGTCTTTGAATATTAGTATTTACTTAACGAATTACGAGATGGTTTATTTTGGTGCAACAAAGATATCTTATATTGTTGAGGACTAGTTGTTGCCCTTTATATGTCTTTATTTTTGTTGTTGGGTTGCTGTCTTATTGACGTATGACCTGCAACTCTTTTCATTCATTTATCAGGAAAATGTGGAAAAAGGCATACATAGAAGTCTGTCAAGGTTTTTTATAATAACATTGCATATTGACCCGCAGATTGGTCGGTCAAATAAATAAAATTCATTGAGAGTGTGAGCCTTGATATAGCTTTTATATGATAGACGCTTATATATGTATCACTAGTATAGGTAGTTTTTTATTCCTTTATCTGTAGGTTCATTATATTTGTCTTGATTACAAAGCACAGCATCTATTATATCAGATACTTTACACATCATTAATCAATCTCTCAGAAACTTTATTGATTCCACAATAAAGTAGAATTTCCTCTTTAGAGGCATTACGAGATTTAAAAAAATATTTTGTTTGCAGATTTACCGATGGTTAATGTTTGAACCATTTATATATTTATTAATAACCTTTATTTCCTGTGATCGTGTTTACTGGATTAAACATAATATCTAATATTATGAGCGAAATATAATTGACAATGGATTTTACATTGTCAAACTTTATCTAAAACTATTCATTATTGACCATTATATAACTTGTAAAAGACTGATAAAATAAATCGTTGGATAACAGTCTCTTAAGTGGAAATAATTATCTTGGAATACGATACAAGTATTTACTTAACAAATAAAAATTGATTTAATGCGTCTGAATAACGGGATGTACAAAAAAGGTTAAATAACAAAAATACCGAACTCTAAGAGAAATTCAAAACGGAAAGTCTTTTATAAAATGGCAAAATCAAAAACTCAAACACATCAAACGAATAGAAAACTACTGTAATATTCCTGACTTGGTACAGGCATCCCCCATGCAGAAAACGGCGGACCAAACCCGGCCCCACCGTCTGCCAAACCCCCCACCCGCTCGACAGTCGCACAAAACTCCACTACACCGATAACAATACGCGAGCAAAACAAACAGACATAATAGGTAAAATGTCAAAAACTGGCAAAAAGACTTTTCACTACAAGAGTCCATTGTTGATTATTTATTCGACGGTGTTGAAATATTTTCTCCTCTTATACCTTGACGATACATTGCAACTTTATTTTGTACTTCGACATGAAATGTGATCTTTAAACTTTGTGTTGATCCGAAAATTCACAATTAACGGAAGAAGATACAAAGATCAATGTTGAAACCCTAAGCAAATTACATTTAGATCTTTTATTGCACTTGGAAATGTATTATCCATGTGTTTTTCTAAGTTTGTTGAAAAATTAGATAATGGTTATTTATCGTTTAGTTAGTATGCTGTCATAAGAAGACTCTTCTTTCAAAGATGACTTTACATCATATATGAAGCATATAATTAAATAACGCAACAGTCAAAGCAGATGCAAAGGCTTTGATAGCCACTTTATCTGATACCGTTCAAGAATGTGTGGCACTTTACCAGATAATAATCAGAGATGAATGGTGTTGATATGAACATCATGCTTTCAGAAAATCAGCAAAACAAGTAGAGGTGGTATATTTGTCAATGAGACAACTATCCACCAGAGACCAAATGACGGTTAACATTTTTCTCTTGAAATATTCAAGCTCAATTAAAGTACTTATAATAACTTATGTCATTTACATTTTATATCCATCTTTGTACATGTAGCTCATCAAGTAGGATATATACGGCTAACAAGGGTTGCTGCTTACAAGGAAGCTATTGAATCAAGGGTTTCTAGTTGTACAATTTAAGTCATCACTTCGTTTTTTTTTCGAACGCTATTATGATTTAGTTAACGTTATAAGATTTTTTTCGTATCCCCAATCCTGTCCTCTTTTTCTCACCGAATGAGACATATCACCGCATTTGTACTTGTCATAAGTAACACTATGAGTGCCAATAGTTGGGCAGGATCTGCTTATCTTCCTGTTCAAGACTGTTGTTTGTCTTTTGGTCGTTTTTCTCTTTTGCATGATATTGACACTTTTTCTTCGCTTCATGATTTAAAATTGTCAATTTTGTATCTTCTGCTTCTCGACTTGCTGGTTAATTATTTTTTCATGGAAATGAACTATATATAGGTTAGGACTGCATTAAAGGCTCGATTCTGGCACTATATTTTCCTAATAGTTTTGTTTTTTAACTAGAACTTTGTATATTACCATAAAAAATCGTTCCAAATACAAATGAATACATAGATTTAGGTAATATGTCATTGCAACCACAACCATCTAACAAAATAGAACCAATAATGATTTCTGAAGCGCAACATATCACCGTCAACAAAAGAAAAGTATCATACGTTAATCATCCTAACTACACACAACTCACAACCATGGCGTTGTCAGTTTATTTTCGACTTTATGAGTTTGAATGCCCTTTGTTATCCTTCGCCTCTTTTTTTTATTAATATTCATATATACAATAAATGACGAGGTTCCTGTTTTGACCGTAAGCGTTAATATTTATTGGTCGACACTGGTGTTCTATCCCATCAAACTAGAGATAAAGGATACTACAGAGACAGTTAAGTCTGCCTCATATCTTGACTTACATCTAGAAATTTGACAATGAGGGTCGGTTGAAAACAAAACTTTACGACAAAAGAGATGATTTCAGATTCCCAATTGTGAACTTTCCATTTCTATGTATCAACATTCCAGCAGCGCCTGCATACGGAGTATATATCTCCCAATTGATACGATATACCCGGGCTTGAATTTCTTTGATAGAGGACTGCTGCTCACAAGGAAGCTATTAAACCAAGAGTTCCAAATGGTGAAGTTGAAATCATCCCTTCGTAAATTTTACGGACGCCATCACGAGTTGGTTGACCGTTATGGAATAACCGTTTCACAGATGATATCGGATATGTTCCTTATGTCGTAACTACTTAGTTTTCTATGTTGTGTCATCTGTACTATTATTTGTCTGTATGTCCTTTTATTTTTTGCCATTGCGTTGTCAGTTTGTTTTCTATCTATGCGTTTGACTGTCCCTCTGGTATCTTTCGTCCCTCTTTGTGGTGATTGCTTGTTTCATTGTTTTTGTCTTTGGATTTATATTTTGGGGTGTACTCAGTCCTCCCATTTTCTTTTTATATCATAGTGGAATAACACAATTGCATATAACAATGTACAAAACAAAAGTTTTAGGAAAGGCCCTTATCCATATAGCTATAAAAAAAAACGCCATCAATTTATAAATTTCTTTCGTCCGAAGCTCTTTTCTTAAATTTACTTTCACCAGGGACGCTCAAAGACGAATATTTGAAAGCCAAGGATGTATAAAAACCAAAATAGTTGAAAATATATGACCCAACAGAACCTAAAAATAATTGATCTTAGGTCAACTTTGCCTGATGGAATTTTTTATAATTTCTAAAATGATAAACGGACAACTTAAGAAAGGTTGTTATAAATCATGTCAGTACCGAAGTACTAACTACAGACGACAAAACAGTAAAGTTATTGGTTCATTTACCCAATTGCCAACAATGACATATTGCTATCAGACTTCACTTTCAGAATGTACTTTTTGAAGTGTTAAAGTTCTATCAAAGGTCCAATTTCTTTAGTGCATTGTCTTTATTACATAAATTTTGTTCACTTTTGCAGATTCATTGTTAACTGAAACATTAAATTAGATCAGTGTTCGACTGAAGACAGTATGCATTTTAATTGGTATGTATGATAAAAATAACAAATAGATATCAGACAGTGGTATGTCGCAATTAAAGAATTTGTGTTTGCAATCCCTTTAAGGCATGCAAATTATAAACCTTATGCAATACAAATAAATGTCAAGGAATTCTTCGTGTCATTAGTCTGTTTTCAAATGTGAAATTTGATATATGATTATTTTATGATGTGCATACAGATATCAAACTAAGAACTTAGAGTTTTATGAAGTAAGAAAGATAAAAACAATACATTAGTCAGTTTAATGCAACCCATTCTCTTAGCAATTTGACCGAATGTATAAAATACAAAACACCCGCACATGTATTTGAGAGAAATGATAGTATGTTTAATATTGAAGTTAGTTCGATGCATTAAATTAAGTCTGTTATTTTTTTTCAAAAATAGCAATTGCCTAATTAATTTTCTTTTTTATTGAAGAGACATTTAGTTCCATGAAAGCATTACATTGACTTTGACAGTGAAAGTGGAATATATATATATAAATTATGTTAAAGAATCGGTGGAACATGGTTGAATCACATATGCATGTATATATTTATCATAAACATGTACCATGTATTACATTAAATGTATTGTGTATAAACATGTATTACATTAACAAGTATGTGTCAAAATGTCTTTATAAACTATTAAATTTTAATTGTAATTGAATTCAGAGTTTTGGAGGATAAGATTTTTTTCTCTCTTTTTTAATTTTTTCGTTATAATAAATGAAACAAACATCTTTGGGTCTTTTCAACTTAATTAGACCAATGAAGTCCAACGATCTTTTTGACTATTTTGAACGCTGTGTCATATTATAACAAGAGAGAAAAATCTTATCTTGCTGCAAGTAATATCATAGGTTTAGGTAGTAAACTCCTAATAAAATCCGCTTGAAACCATTTTGTAATAGGTTTCGTTTTTTTTGCTTATTCAAGCTTTACTCACAGAACACAATATAAATCATGCTTAGAGTCTAACAAGCCCATGTAAAAAATATCATGAAAGTAGTATGTGTACAGTTTATAGTCTTCTTTTTAAACTATTGAAAAAATCACAGGGGCCGAACCCTCTCAACCTCAACCGAAAACACTTATATCTCCCCATTCAAAAAGATCAACTATAAATTATAGTACCTTTCATACTATTGTATATTACAATGTGAATAGCCTGACTTAATTTGTAGAAAATTTTCGATTTTTAAAATGTTGTTGTCTAAGGTAATACGAATTGTTAAAAAAGGATATTTGATATATATCCACTGGCATACGTTATCACAATTGCTTACATTTACCTAAATGTGTCTCTTGTGAAGGTGCTTTGCATTTAGAATGATGTCATTATAATTTTTAATTGTCTATGCAGATTGTCAAACGAATTAAAAAAATTGTGTTATATTTTTATATGAGTATTTTTGTAATAAAAGTTTTGAAAATATATTTGACAACTTATAGTAGGCCATTCTGTTATTTGATAGGTACAATTGCATAGTTTTGTACATGTAATTAAACCTTGCAGTGACCCGACATTGTGAATGCCTTTGAAAAATAGTTAACTCTAAAAAAAAAAGGTATTTTGATCGTGATGAAACGATTTCATATGGAATATCACCGTATTGACATGTTAATATCCTTTAATCTTAGATGGATACATGTAGTTGTGTCATTGGCAATTATACCTTACTTTTATATAAAAGAAAACTAACAAAAATTTCTCAAAATCGGCATTAACGATCCATTTGTTAATATAACTTTTTATATAATTGTAGATATGTGGGTAAACTTCAATAAACAAGCAAGCTAACACAAACAAACACATAAACACAAGACATCTTTATCAGTTTATCCTAAAACAAAAACGTGTAGAACTACATATTCGAATGTCGGTTGGATAAATCCCATCAGGTAGAATTTATAAAAGTACCGATCCTATTTTTTGAAATGTGGAATTGTACAAATAACTGAAAAATGGCAGTCGATAGCACGAACATGTGATTTTTTCCCAGATTATTAATGTTGCCAAAAATATTAGTTTGTAATTGTGTGCCTCCAATCTATACAAAATAAATGCAACTCAAATATAAACTGTTACACAGAGATATGTTGCCACTGTATGACCTAACTACATTGTACAATTTTTAAGTCATATAAAACGAGTTTCTGGTAATTAACAGTTTTAGAAATTATTGAACCAATTCATGCATATTCATTAAACTATTTTATTTAGTCCTCTGCGCACGTTTTTACATTTATTACGAATCAATACAGTATAATCGACAACAAATATTTACTCCTGTGAGTGTTGATTGAAAGTTATACCTGCAAATTAACTTTCGAGTTTTGATGCCGATGTTTACCGATCGTTACTTATTAATAAAGACTCTACATAAAATCATGGAACACGTGGAAAATAAGTGAGACGATAGAGCAATATATATTTGTTTTTTATGTTTTCCATGCGTACCCATTTGTTAATTAAACTTTGTCATAACAGTTGTTAAATGATTTGGTGTTTTATTTTTTTTTAAATTCAGAATCGATTAAAACTGTCTTCTTTCCACGTTTATTTAAGTTTTCTTTCATCACGGTTTTTCCCTCGCATTTAAGCTGTGCTATTGCAGCAGTTCTAAAGAAATGTGTCATGTTTAAGGTTACTGCATACGGAAAAGCAGTGTGCCAATTATAGTACGGGAAGACAATTATTCAATTCAAGGATTTTCTTTTATAAGAAAGTCTATGTACACGGTTTTTAAAGTACTACTTAACCATTGAAGTACTAAATAAAACATTTTCAACTTTTTTTTTATTAACTCCAAAGTATCATATGACTTTAACAAGTGTTGGCGCCCCTGAATTAAATAGTAGTATGTTTTATACTTTTGTCGCAAACACTAGCTCCGAAAATACAGGTAGTCGGCTTTATATTTTACACCGTTATTTAGGATTTCTTGCTTTTTTTCTTAATCGTTCAGTGATTATATATTGGCGTTACTTAAAAAAAATCGGTATCTTGACCACATTTAAATAAAAAAAGTTGTCTCTGTATTTACTGATTAATGTTCACAAGCCTTACCTTAATTGACCTCTAATAAAAAAAAACATAAATGTTAGTATATAAGGAAATTTATATACGATCCGGGTAAACTTATCAATCCTTTAAATAAACTTATTCTAAAAGGTTACGAATTCAACACTGTAATTAGATCTTTGAATAATGTTTTAATCTGTCGATCCCTATATTTTGGCATTGCACAAGGTCATGTTTTTCTCTGACTTTCATGACGTCTTTACACTAAATCCATTAGATGTTGGATGTGTACTGATTGATATATTAGTCTTAGATACATGATTTATTTTATTAGTTGTTATTGACTTTGAACTAGCTGTCAATGTCAACTCTCAATTCTGTAATTTGTGTCTTTTTTGTTAGGGATGTATAAATACCCTGCGACGTCCGGTCTGTGATTTTGTTAGATGTTTTTCGGCTTTGTATCGATCTGATGATTAAGTCTTTTTCCTTAATCAACTATATTGTATAGTTAGTTCTTATGTTGTGTTGTAACACCACCGTCCCAGGTTAGGGGTGGTGGTGGTGGGGGGGGGGGGGGGGGGGGGGGGGGAGCGCTCACAAACATGTTGAACCCCGCCACATTCTTTTTGTGCCTGTCCCAAGTTAATAGTCTGTAGTTCAGTGGTTGTCGTTGGTTCATGTCTGCCATATTTGTTTTTCGTAAATTGTTTTGTTATAAATTAGGCCGTTTGTTTTCTCAATTGAATTGTTTCATATTTTTCATGCCAGGGCCTTTTATAACCGACTATACGCTATGGGTTTTTCTCATTGTTGAAGGCCGTACGGTTGCCTATAATTGCTTACATCCACTTCATTTGAACTTTGGTGGATAGTCTCTCATTGGCAATCATACCATATCTCCTTATTTTTATAACATAAACTATAGTAATAATACATATACTTTATTCTCTAAAATCAATAAAATCAAAGGAACAGAGATTGACATGCAAAAAGATACACAAATAATACATAGCATGATAGAGAAGAGCTAACATTGGTGAAATAAGATGTACAATATGAAGACAACATAGCAATGTGGTTTAGTCTGAAAACCCAATCTGTTCTTCGGACATCCTGCACTATTTCCATGATCTGCTGGTGGAAGAATTTACCTGTGCTCTTTTGTTTGGTCTGTTGACTTTTTTTCATGGCTACTTGATGATGATGTTTGATTTCTTACTGGATTTGGCTTGAAATGTTTATCGTCTATAACCATAACTATAACTGCTTTCCTGTTTTGTTGCTCTATAAGAATAAGATGTGCTATAACAACTCAGGATACAGCTTTTGTAGGAAAGATATTGCTGATTTGTTCCCTTTCAAGTATCTTGCACCATTTTTAGTTCTTGCAATAGACAAAACTTTGTTTCGAGTGAACCGGGTAAAACGCATCCAAATAAAACGCGTCATATCAACTGACATCGATATCATACTATAATTTTCAAGACTTCGCTCATATTTTGAAATATCAATTGTAAGCCGCAAAACTCTTTTTAAGTACAAGATGCACATATTTGACAATTATTGTCTCTTCAGTGATGCTCGAGAACAAAACTTATATTTTATATTTATATCGTCATGTAAATGTAGTAGTTACAAATTTGATATCAATTTGCATGCATTATGGACGTGACATTTACAGTTAATGATGCTTCCTTTTGAATGGAAACATTTATTTTCCCCAGGATAGTAATTTCGGTTGAGTAATTCGACTAATTTCATTCCAAACTATCTCTGTTTCATTACAGGGCAAACCAAACATCTATTACATAACGTGTATTACGTTAAAAGCAAATTCATTCAGACGAATAATTGAAAACTGATACCATGGGAATGTATTATCTTAGGGCATATATTTCCTAAAAAATTACTATTAAAGATAACTTTAAATTAAACATGCTTCTTAAATCACATATTTGACATGAATAAATCACGCAAGTACATGCTATTTCTAGCTTCCATCGATTCTATTATATTTATCATAACAAAAGGAAATGTGTTGCTTTTGGAAGGCAAATGCAAAATTAATTCATGCATTTATTATCCCATATTAGTGAATACATGCACTTATGCCGACAACGCTCTCTCTGAAAATAAAAGGAAGTTTTCAATAGAGTGTTACATTATTAATTGGAAGTATCACCTTCAGTTAATAATAAACACAGCACTGAGTTTCAGTTTGTGTAAAGCATAACTCTGATGAACCGACTATAAATCATGTACAAGTATATATGACAGGCTTCTATTTGTGCATGAAACCACACACATGACAAGCTGTACTTTTGAGTGACGAACACAAGAAAAGATTTCAGCATTTAAAAAATGGATGTTTTTCGATCTTCAAATATAGAAATATTTTTTTCCCAATACAAATTTAATAAGTTTTGTCAGCTAATGTTCCTACACAGAGATAACAACTACAGAGTCTGAGCTATGTTTGCTGAAAATAAAACACAAGTTGAGTAAAATGTCATTTATTCAGAAATTAATTTAAAATGCAACTGACATGTTAACAATTATAATAGTAGTGAATAAATGACTTTAATAAGTAAAGGTGGGGTTGAAAAAGTGCTACAAATCCCCAGAGGGATCCTCATCTGAGGACTCTATTCAACTTAAAGCAAGGAATTGTATATTTAGACATTCCTTTTAAATATACAATTCCTTGCTTAAAGGAACTCTAGAACTAAAATTAGCAACAAGAAAAATTGAGCAAACCATGTTGACCTCATTGAAATAAACCAAAAATGGAATAAAATATACACCTTTAGCATGCCAATTTTTTATAAGCGTACAAAAATTTAGCATTTATTGAAAACGAAACCAATGTTATTTAAACTCACAATAGTTATTAACCTAATATGATATAAAATTAAAGTGTAGAGCAAACCATGTTGACCTCTACAAAAATAATAACATAAAGATTATAAACAAACAAATATATGTAACAAAACTTGTAAACTTCTACAAGTTAAAAGTATAGCCCATGTTAACTGAAAGGTAAAGCAAGTCATGTTGACCTCTACCAACAAAATAAAAAAAAACAAAAAAAAACCGCTTAACATAGTTAAAGGCTGAAACAAATTTACTTAATTTGCAGAGAAACCAATGTTGACCTCTACAATAGTTAACTAATTCTATAATTTAAAAAAACAGCCCTGTTGACTATACTACAAAAAAGATTCACAATAAGGTAAAGCAAGCCATGTTGACCTCTACCAATGCGTATGCTAATACATTAAAATTAAGAATTTTCAAGTCTAATATAATGTTGAAAAGCATTGGACTTCCATCTACCCATGTTTTGGATCAAGGCGTAAGGCACCCCTCTGGCAGCTATAGATGTTGCAGCTCCAATTCTGAAACAGTT